CTCACTGTTGCCGTCGTCAGAGAGATGGGAAAGCTCTCTCTCCCCTTTCTCCAGCGAAAGTGATGACGGCTTTTGCCGGAGAGAGCTCACTGACGCCATCACCGCTCTCCCTTTCTCCTTCATTCCAAATCTGGAACGAGGAGAGAGATGGGAAAGCTCTCTCTCCCCTTTCTCCAGCGAAAGTGATGACGGCTTTTGCCGGAGAGAGCTCACTGACGCCATCACCGCTCTCCCTTTCTCCTTCATTCCAAATCTGGAACGAGGGAGAGCTCTCCCCCTCTCTCAAGCGAAGTCAATGGTGGGCGGTGGGGAGAGCTCTTTGGCGGGCGATGACGCACTAGAAGGTGAAGAACAAGGAAGAAGTGGGGAGAAAGAAATAAAATGCCACCTGGAAAATAAAATTAGATAATTTTTTTTTTTTTTTTTTTTACATTTCATATAAAATAAGAAGTTATAAAAATCCAGTCATCCATTAACTTGCCACCTCATTTTTTGTTAAGTCTAACTACCGGTTGAAGACAATAAAGGGATTATTTAGAAAACACTTTTTCAAATTATGTTTATTTTAAAATTTAAGGGATTAAATAGATACTTACTTCAAATCTCAAAGATTTAGGGATTAAACAGACACTTACTTCAAATCTCAAGAACCAAAAGGTTTCATTTTGCAACTTTAGGGATCAAATTGACATTTATCTCAAACTTCAGGACCAAAAGTGTATTAAATTTTATAATTTAAAGATAAAGAGTTTTTTATCCCCTTTAACTATTTTATAAAAAATATTATATTGAAGTAAAATTGATTCTGTTCTTTCAATCAAGCAATAAAAATAATAATTGTTTTTCAAATTAAATTAATAATTCGAAGTTTTTGAATGATAGAAGATTTATTCCGTTCCCTAAGAAAACAAACAAGAATTCTCGTCATCTCCAATTCGTGTTATAAAGTATTGATGAAAGTATATCAAAGCATCTTATTTATAATTGATATATCTAGTATAGAGTACATCAAAATATATCAAATTATAGTTTATTTACGTTAACGTTACTCATACACCTTAATGTCACTAATTAATATACCTTGTATGAGCACAAAATTTCGGTAGTCTTACGTGAGGTTTTGTTTTGCATTTTATTAGACACCAATGTTTCTTTTACTTCATGGACAACAACTTGGTCTAGATATCCATTCCATTTTTATTGTTAGATTTATCTCGATATACTTCATAACTAATATATTTTGATGTATTTCATATTAGATATATCAGTTATAATTAATGTAGATGTACTATTAGGTATATACTATACTAGGTATATTTGCTACAACTGATATACCTTGATATATTTTATACTAATATATATAAGCTGATATGTCTCAATGTATTTCATATTAAGTATATTAGTTTTATAACTGACATACCTACATAAAGGTATGTTAGTTGATATATACTATTATCAATAGTATATGAACACACACATATCAGAGATATATCAGTAATATATCAATAACATATATCAACACACAAGCATTTGTTATTCTATCAATTATGCCAAAGAAGTCTGTCACATCCAAATTTATCATGTTGGACAGGTCAAATATATCATCATCTTGCTAGACAAAGTTTGCTTTCACATTTCCCACTTTTTCCTTAAGGGAATCTTGATAAAGATCAACAAAGTGTTTTGACGAACGACAAATACATGCTCAATGTTCAGTCATTCTACATCAGAAGTATTTATGTTCAATACTTCTAGAACTCTTATCTTGTGGAGCTTTTCCTATATGATCATCATTTCATGTGGTTCTCTTGACATTTAGATGATTATAACGACCACCACGACATGAATAATTATTTCTTTCTCTATCGAGGTCATGACCACGACCTTGACTGTGATTGTTAAAATTCACAACATTTGCTTCAGGAAATGGTGTTGCTTCCGTTGGTCAAGATTTATGACTTTTCATCAACAACTCGTTATTTTGCTCAACCATGAGAATACATGATATAAGTTAAGAATACTTTATAAACCACTTCTCTCGATATTGTTGCTGTAGAAGCATATTTGAAACCTGAAAGGTAGAAAATGACTTTTCTAACATATCTCCATCATTCATTACTTGAATTTTTAACCGATTTGAAATCTTGGAGCCTCAAGTGCATCATTCATAACTCATTTCATGATGATCTTACCTCTATTTTAAATTATGTCATAAAACACGGGGATATTTTATTGTCAGATAGTTAAATCTTCAATCCCTCGTGGAGATGATGATGAAGACTTTTGTATTTTCTTGACTCAAAGTCATATTTCCTTCTTTAATAGTTTCTCCCATGTTAATGGCATCCAAGTGGGTTTCAGCATAAATTACCCATGACAAATAATTATTGTCATTGATGTCAAGGAGAACAAACCCTAATTTGATAAGATTTGTCATGATAATACTATCACAAAAAAAATGTATTTATATTAGAAATTTTAATACATACAAAACATGAAAAACAACATATAACTTAAAAAGAAAAACAAATAACCCACTTTTAATGGGGAAATGGTAGAGGCTTGTACTGTTATCGTACTGTTACGAAATTGAAAAGCAAAACGAGACACCACGAGAGCAAGAACAACGAAAAGAAAACAGATAAAATATAAAATTGGAAAATAAAATTTGGTATAATTTCTCTTAATTTTTCCTCCACAAAATTGGTCTTACATAACCCATTAGACCCTCTTGGAATGGACACTAAAAATGGAGGAAAATTAGACACATGGAACTATTGGACAATAGCACTTGGAGCATGGGTAACGAGACACGTAACTATTTTGGACATTAAGCAAATGATCATCTAAATATTGTAATAAGCTTTTATAATAAATTATGTATTTTAAAAAATTCAATTTTTTTTTTCAAATATAACCTTACTTTTATAAAATTTAGACGTATCCTAACATAACTCAACTGGTTAAGAAATCTACCCCGACTAAAAGGTCGTGATAACGAATCCCCACCCCATATGTTTGTACTAGAAAACATGTATTAGAAAATTATATTTTTATACTATTGATGTAAATATGTCTTTTTTTTATTAAATTACAAGTTTTGTCCTGCATTTTTAAGGATGTGTTTAATATATTCCTTAGCTTTGAAAAGTGTCCATGTATTTCTAATTTTTTATTTTGTGTCTATTTTGCTTTTGAACTCTCAAAAACACAAAATTGAACCCTAAATTCATGAGAATTTAAGTTTCTAATAAATATAAAATTTTAATTTTATATCTTAAATTTTAAATTCATAGACCTATTAAATATAGAATTGAAAGAGAACCCTAAATTCATGAGAATTTAAGTTTCTAATAAATATAAAATTTTAATTTTATATCTAATAAGTGTAAATTTTAAATTCATAGACCTATTAAATATAGAATTGAAAGTTAAATATCTCATGGTTTGATTTCTATCATCTCAATTGTAGAATTCACAAAAGAAGAAAAAAAAAAATTTGACGGACTAAACTTATACTTTCACATTTTTTTATCGACTAAATTACAAAAAATACCCTATACTCTCAAAAGTTCAATAATACTCTTGTTTCAAATAATATATTTTGAATGTTGTACTCAACAAAATATATATATATATATATATATTGAACAAAACACCTGCTAATATCTAGAAGAAAAACTTGACTTAACAGAATTTGAAATGATTTTGTAATATATATTTTGAACAAAACACCTGCTAATATCTGGAAGAAAAACTTGACTTAACAGAATTTGAAATGATTTTGTAACAATTAACTCGCGCTAAAATAAATTTGACTATGACTATGGTCAATTATATGTCCATCATTGTTTCTACTCAGTGAATTTTTTTTACCGTTATTAAAAGTTAAATTTATTGTAATACCATCTAATAGTTCTCAATTATGTTACGCGAATTTTTTGATTCAAAATATTAATGGATATATTTTTTGAAATTTTAGAAATATAGAGGTATTTTTTAAGGAAAAAAAAATAACTCGAGTGTTTTTCTTAATTTTTCAAATAGTAATTTGGCCTTTTTTTTTTTTATATTTGGAGTCCCAATTCGGCGCCGGCCGACTCTGATTGCGACGTGTTCAGTGGGCAAAATGGAGAAATTTAAATTCAAAAGAAACCAAAATGAGAGAGAGAGTAATCAGAATCTGCAGCGAGTGACTCAGCCATGGCGGTGGACAAGTGTCCTCCAACGGCGATGACTCGTACCAGTACCGCCGCCAACTGCTTCTTCTTCCTCATCTTCTCCTTCTTCGGAGTTGCAATCCAATGCATTCCAGTTTCTCCTCACGCTTCCGTTTCCCCCGACCAATCGCCGCCTCTTCCTCCTTTCAGACCAATGGTAATTTCTCATCTTCTCTTTCATGTTTTCTTTTCTGTTCTCGTCTTTCCTTTTCGCATGCGCCGACGGTCTTCAATTTCATCGCAATTTCCCTTCCTCTCTTTTGCTATTAATATGATTCGTTCTCTAATTAGTCCTGGAAAGCAAGATTTGCTAAATATGTAATGCTTGATTTTGATTTTTGTCTGTTTTCTTTTCCCTCTCGTTTGGGTTCAGAAGAGGAGGAGGAGAGGTGCTCTGTTCTTCGATGACGATGTCATCAATTCATTAGTCCATTTACTTTTGTAGATTATTTTTTAATGAACCAAAGTAGAAGTTTTAAAAGAACATGCACCAAAATGAAAAAAAGAAAAGAAGTTAGAAAGTACAAAACCAAAATTGAGGGTTTAAAGTACATTCACCAAGATGAAAAAAAACTTGAAAATCTAGAATTACAAAACCAAAATAGGATTTAAACAGTATACAATTTAGTCCTTGATCTCTTGGAAGTTTCTATTTCAGTTTTATGTATTAATTTTTTTAATTAAGTTCTTGCCATCACTAAATGTTAAAAAAACACATATGAGTAGCAATGTAGCATTTTTATGGGGAAATTTCTAAAGCAAGGGCTATGTCATGTAATCAGTCACACATCAAGGACTTGGTTTTTTAATAAGAGGATGAAATTGGAACTCTTAAACATTAGGGACTAAATCAAAAAACAACACCTAAAGGTTAGGGACTAACCCAATATATTTAGCTTTTTTCTTTTCCTTTTTGAAAAGTATTCTTTCTTTGATAAACTTAAAGCAGGTGGCAAATTATAAAAAATTCTGGAAACTTTTGTGTGAAAAAGTTGGAGTTCATTACCGTACTCCTTCCTCCAGGTAACACTTGTTCGTTACTCCGCTAATCGGTGTTTTATTCCATTTTCGTATTGTCTTTTTTCATGTTCTTTTCATCAGGACAGCAAAAGTGACACTGAATGTTTGAAAAATGGGGGGAAAGGATCTCTTCTCAAACATGTATTTAGAGCATTTGATGCGGATTTCTTCAATAATACAAAGGTTTATAGGACCAAATTCTTTTCAGGTTTTTATGTCATATGTCATCGTTTTAGTTCATGTAAAATATTCGAGGAACCTTTGTTTTTGAGTAGATGGAGGAGATTTTAAGGGGAGAAGAAGAATTTAATGTGCCTATAACCAGAGCCAATAGAAAGTTAGTTGCTTCTGAAAATGGAGGTCTGCATAACCCTTCTCCTTTGGTGTTCAAACCTGGGTGGGCAGACGAAAGATTTCGACATAGGAACGGAAGATTTTGCTATCCTCCTGTATCTGGAGTAAAGAGACCAAAAAATGATGAAGATATTGCCTTCATGAGTGTATGTCCGTAAAGACTTAACTTTTTTTAGTTTGTAATGATTTAATCCATTTACTTTTGTGGGTAACACTTTAGTTTTTATAGTCTTCCTAAGCAATTTATTGATGCAAGTAGTTGAAAAATTGTATTAAATCAAATAAAAATTTTCATGGTAAGAACTAAATTGTTACAAACTTTAAGACTGTAGGGGTTAAATCGTTACCGAAAGTACTAAGACAAAATCATTACAAATTTTGAACTACATGTCTAAATTTTTACATGTTAAAGCTCATGCTTTAGTAATATTAAAAAGTACTTAGACCAAATGTGTTTTTTTAAGCTAAACAACTGTTGATGCAAGTTTTAGGGAACTGGTCGAACTGGAGGTCGGGGTCAATCGAACCTTATAGTTCAGGTGAATCGACTCTCGAGTTGATCGAGAAGCGGTTGGGCCTTAGCTAGGAGTCGTGGCCTATAGAGAGAGCGATGAAAAGGAGAACACCGGTGTGGTGTCGGCGTACCACACTCTGATGCTTAAGTCAATGAGCTTAAGAAGTGAAGAATAAATGACGTGTCTCGGTAAAATTGCATACCTTCGAAGGTCAGAGAATCTTTCTCTTTATGGGTTGATGGTGGTGAAGATGGTCCTTTTAAAGTGATGGGGTGGCTATGCCCACCTATAAACCGCACAATATGGCGTGAGGAAATGAATGCCCTTAACTCTGCCGTATCCAAAGATGGGCGAGCATGTAGGCTGCTGGCAACGAGGCAGGCTAAAAGAGGTGGTGGCTGCTCAGGCCCTCGGCCATTGTAGCCCACGAGCATGCCAGCTAGCTGCTGAGCTGCAGTCTGCAGATGGCCGAGCAATGCTACACATGGATGTGTGTGCCTATGGCTGCATAGAGTTACAACTATTGGCCTGCTCAAGTTGGCAGATGCGCAAGCTTGTGTACTAGCTTGTTTGTGCAGTCCTCTTGCGCTCATCATGAGCTCCACATTGGTCTTCCTTGGGCCTAATTAAGCCTGGTATTTGAGTAGGTTCCCCAACAGTAGCCCCCTACTTCAGGGCAAACATTTTCCTTGGTTTGTAGTATTCTTCTGATGTATCTTTTCATAATTGAACTTTACACCACTCTACACGTCATCGTTTTATCCATATCATTGTAGTACGTTGCTTTGCCCTGCCAGCCGCACAATACACCGTTTTGCCTCTACCGGTCGTGCAATATGCCATTTCGTCCCTATAAGCCATGCAATACGTCGTTTTGCCCCTCGCTGTTTCGCCCGTACCAACCGCACTACATCTGCATAATAGTATGCACCAGATGTGGTCTCGAGATCCTCATTAAAGCGACATTTGTCTCCTCCTTGGAAAGTAGTGTGGAGTTCAACTACAAATAGGTCTGAAACTTTGAAGTAAAGGGCTATTATTGAGGAATCCAATGTTGCTTTGGCCCCAAGACGACCAATCTTGAGATCAAAATGAGCCCACGAGGATCGCGCAGCACACAAGCTGCACGGCTGCCGACTTGCGTCGTGTGGCTCACACAGCCATGCACGACCATGTGCAGCTCAACAGTTGGCTACCATGTTCGTGGTTGCAGCGGTCACCATCTCTTTTAGTGCGGTCCTACTTGCGGGCTTGCTGTCAGTAGCCCCCACAGGCTTGCCACCTTGGGACACGGTAGAGTTAAGGGCAGCACACTTGCCCAGCCACCTCCATGACTTTAAAGAGACCATTCACACTACACTCACCTTATAAATAGAGGGGAAGGTAATTCCACCAGACTCGTCCTTTATTCTTCACTTCTAAGCTCATCTACTGTCTTAGACATTGGAGTGTAATAGGCTGACATCACACTGGTGTTCTCCTTTTTATCACTCCCTGGAGACCATGACTTTTTCTAGCTAAGGCCCAATCGATCAACTCGACGGTCGATTCACTTGGATTATAAAGTTCGATTGCACTGACCTCCAGTTCGACCAGCTCCCTAAAAATTGCATCAACAGTTGTGGCATTTCGGGTGCATGATCGGTTGAAATTCTATTAGGTTCTTGAACTTGGCGAACTGGTCAAAACGAAGCAGGTTACATCTCTGGAGCTTGTACAAATTTTTCTGCAGAGATTGAAAAGGTATTCATGCAATCAGCTTATGAAGTCTTTGCGGACAATGTTGAAGTTTCATAGAATCACTTTCTACTGAACAATATCAGGTACAACCATGTTCTTGAAGCAGTCGTTTCTTTTACTGAAGAATTGGCTCATAAACAAGCAAAAGAGGCTGATGAATTGTTTGCCCGAGGAGTGTATTTAGGTTTGTGATTTTAATAATTTAGGCATAATCATTTTATTTTTTATTTTATGTTTTTGAACATTTATGTATCTATTTCTTTTGAAAAAAAAGTACTTTCTAAAAAGTAGTTTTTGTTTTTATATTTTCCAAGGATTCAAATGTGTTTTGAAAGTCATACCAAAAGAAATGGTGAGATGGTAAGATACCATGCATGATTTTAAATATAAAAATAGAAACTTAAAAAGACGTCATTCATTTGGGTGGTGTATTTATAAGTTATAGCTAATTGTTTACCTTTCTTCAATATTTTACAAATGCAGTATTAAATTTATATATCACTTTGAGATCAGATATTGTTTTACAGGTCCACTGCATGGAATTCCATACGGGCTGAAGGATATAATTTCTGTACCAGGATACAGAACAACTTGGGATTCAAGAAGTTTTAAGGAACAAGTAATTGATGTTGAAGCTTGGGTTTATCAGCAGTAAGAAAGATTTGGCTGTAAATTTATCTCAGAAATATGTCAAGTGACATCTTCACTAACAAATCATGAATCATTTGATTTTGCAGGTTGAAGTCAGCGGGTGCTGTTCTTGTTGCAAAACTTGTTTCTGGATCGCTTGCATATGATGACATCTGGTTCGGTGGTCGGACAAGAAACCCATGGAATATTGAGGAGTTCTCTACAGGGTCATCAGCTGGACCTGCTGCTTGTACTTCTGCAGGTACCTTTTAGACTTGATCTGATTGCTTCACTACTGGGCTAATATATTTTAGGTAGAATTCTTGAAAAACTTCAACCATTTGGTTTTAGGCCCAAATGCATATTATTGTAAATGTAGGGAGACTTGCCATCTTTTTAACCCTTGATTTTCCCAAGGTCCATGATGAAGTTGGGCCTTTGTGTGTTTTTTTTTTCAAAAAAATTAAATTACATGTCAAATCCGGGAAACTTGTAGGGTTGTCTTATAGTTTTTTTAGTTTCAAAAGTGGGTTGTCTTGTAGATCTTTGGACTTTAAAAGTGTCTAATAGGGTCTTGGTAAGGTAAATAATACGCTTGTGAATTTTAAAAAATATTGCATATGTTAAAAGACCTCTCAGAAACAAAATTATTTATAGATTTGTTTAGAGAGATGTACTAGTTCAGGAATTTATTAGACTCAATCACCAGTTCAGGTGTCTATTAGAAAATAATTTGGGCCCTTTTGAACTAACAATTATCTTTCCCTTGTCATTTTGGATATGAGCACATAAGAGATGTGGCTCAATAACAATTATATCTGGATTGTTCTCTTTTACCAGGTATGGTTCCATTTGCAATTGGATCAGAAACTGCTGGCTCAATGACTTTTCCTGCTGCTCGGTGTGGAGTGACTGCACTACGGCCAACGTTTGGAACAGTTGGTCGAACTGGAGTGATGAGTATTTCTGAAAGCTTGGTAGTAACTATGAGTCCCTTTTGCTTATCATCTCAACTCGTCTTCGATATTCATTCTGCCTTTGCTCAACAGGATAAGCTTGGTCCATTTTGTAGAAATGCTGTTGATTGTGCAGTCATTTTGGATGTCATTAGAGGAAAGGATCCACATGATCTCTCATCAGTTGAGAGTCCTCTTGACGATCCGTTCTCCATCGACATTTCAAAGCTTACCGTTGGATATCTTGATGATGCTGACATGGAGGTTGGTTAATCCCATTAGAGTAAAGCCACCTCATAAAGGCTTTTACATCTGGAATGTTAACCAAATTTGTAAAATGGTGATGGTAGGTTGTTCGGGTTCTTTCGTCGAAGGGTGTTAATATGGTGCCATTCAACTTATCTTACACTGTTGACTCTGTTCAAGGCATTCTTAACTTCACTATGGATGTTGATATGTTGGCTCACTTTGATGAGTGGCAACGGATGGGGCTTGATGATCAATATGAAGCTCAAGACCAATGGCCGACCGAACTGCGTCGTGCGCGTGTACTTTCAGCAGTGGACTATGTACAGGTATTGTTTTGCCTCTTTCGAGTAGAATTTGTATATGTTCATTTCCATTGTGAAATACTTTTCCCTATAATCACGAATATAATGCTAGAGATTGCTGTTGAGGGAGTGGTAAAAAAATTCTGGTTTAATTATAAGTTGGTTTATGAACTTTTAGGATTGTGTCTAACAAATCTCTACCCCTTAAAAAGTTCATAAATAGGTCTTTGAAGTCTGTTGGGTCTTTGTTCTCTAAAAAGTTTAATAACTTCCCAAACTTGTCATTAATTCCAAAATTTTTAAAGTACAAGATACCATAGTGTTTATTAACAATTTTTTCAAGGTATGAGGACTTATTAGGTACTGATCCTAAAGTTCATGAACCCAACTTGTAATTTCACCCAGATGTATAGATGAACCGGTGAAATCACGATTTTGGAGAGAGGGAAGATTGGTGTTCTGATTTGAAATCATTGAACATGTAATATATCTGCAGGCACAGAGAGCAAGGGGGAAGCTAATGAGGGAGGTTAAAGAAAGTTTTAGTGTCGATGCTTTCGTTGGCAATGCCACGGACTGGGAGAGGGTTTGTATGGGAAATCTTGTTGGTTTGCCTGTTATTGTTGTTCCAACAGGATTCAAAAACATCTCAAACCCACCTCCCACTGCCACCAGACGAAGAACCACCATTACCACCGGCATTTATGCTCCTCCTCACAGGGATCACATCGTAAGTATGCTTCACCTTCCACTCCTAACAGAACACGGTGACATGTCAATTTTTAAAACTCTATTAGCACGTTTATTAGAACATATGTATTTTAATGATTCTCATATTAAAAAATTGATTCTCATGCTTCATCTCAAGATAGTTCAGAAAGATCTAAACTAACTTGTCACTTTTTTAAATGGATATAAGGGGCCGTACATTTGGCGAGAGCTTGGTGTCTCTCGGTCATATTGGCTTAGAGGTCTCAAGTTCGAACTTTCTAGTGAACTTAATACCAATGTCTCCTAGATTCGAGCCTTGGGGTGAGCGTGGATGCTCCTGGGAGCAAAGCTCCGATTTACGTGTTTTGATATATGTTCAACAGTAGCGTCTGTGCTTCATAGGTTCCCCTCTTTAAGTTTAGCTTTCGGGTGAAAACTGATTCAAATTCACCTGCAATTGATGTTGATGTGTAGGCTCTGGCTTTGGCGATGGCTTACCAGTCTGCAACAAATCACCACAGAGCAAGACCACCCATTGATAATTTGGGGCCTCATGATTCTATACCAGATACACCCCTGGCGCCTATTCCTCCAAGATTATTGCACGTTTGAAGATGAATCTGCACTTTATTTCATGGTTTTCTCAAGCCTAACACGACCTAGAAAATGGTACATACTATCCTTAGTGCAAAGCCTTGGCCTTATCTTACATTTTGGTTCCCACGCTTCTTTCGCTTCACCAACGAACGGATTTAAATATGTAAGGATTTAGTTAATGTGGTTTATAATTTGTAATAGTTCGGTATAATTGTCTACCGGTCGGTCTATTCAATCTTTTATGTGTAATGGTTGTCTCCCTAGCAAAACGCTTCAAGTCTCTAGATGGTTTATTTGAAGCCACTGTCAAGTAAGTTTTGGTTCGTTGGGTTACTTTATCTTGTTCTATTAGACAACTATTTTTGTTTTTTGTCTCTCATTTTTTTCTTAGAAACGTTTTTAAAATTGTGTAGATATTTTAGAAACGTCGCAACTATTGTTTCTTTTTTTTAAAAAATATAAATAAAAGTATTATTTTATCCTTCTTTATTTATAAAATGCATGATAAATATTTAAATGATAAATAAAATATAGAAGTTTTGAATATTTATTTTTTATACAAGATTTTTTAATTTTAAAATGGTAGGGAACAAGGAACGATTATTAAACACAGTTTTTCTTCTACCAACATCAGCTCTCCTGAAAAATAAGAAAATGAACAACTGAGTCATAACTGAGTCATTGAATTTTTTACTCACATGGATTTATCCTTAATCTTGAACTAAGAACATGAAAATTACAAGATTAATTAATTATTTTTTGTTTAATCATAGAGAATAAACTGCTTGTTGGGAGGCCATTATGATATGAAAACTCTTTTAAGAATGTTGTCCATTTCTTTTTTGTCTGTTTCTTTCATTATGTTATTAGTTCAATTTGATGATGAATGAAATATTCTTCATTGGTCAAAGCACTTTTTTGTTTCTGAATGAATCAAAGTGCCTTGATTACAAAATTTTCAAAGTGCTTTTATTTGTGGTTAAGCTCACGGAGTCCTAAATTAATAATAATAGTAAAATTACAATCAGAATTTCAATGAAAGGCAAACTAATAAATTAGGGAGCTTTCGTTTCAAATAAAAAAAGTAATAATAATAAATAAATAAAGAAATTAGGTAGCTTCTTACAGAGGTTATCTATTCCAACTATTTTGTAAAAAAATACCCATTCCTTATGGGGTTTTTGCATATTTGGTACACGTGAAATCTTATAGTATTTTCTCACCAAAATGACAATTAGTTATAGAAATAGTGTTAGATGAGTAGTTTGATCGTTGAAGCTTAACTAGTTGATGCTACATCTTTCCCTGAGAGTTCAAAAACTACCTTATAATTACAAAGGATATTGGAGCGACAAATATAATGTTACAGATGTAGAATCAAATGACAACTACTGTAGAGGGGTGAATAGGTTGCTTACCACTTTTTTTAAATTTAAAAATAAATTTATTGTGCAATCAATATAAAATAAAGATTAACAAAATGAGAAGAATTATTGCACAAAATATTTAAGTAATTCTATCATGCAATTTAGCAAAATAAATTCAAAGTAGTTAAAATACTGAATTTAGAAAGAGGAGAGGAGAGAGAAAGAATGACATTGGAAATTTTTACAATGAGTCTAGAAATTCCTTCACTTTCCACGACTCTTTGCATATTTTATTGAATTATCCTCTTATGACTGACAACAAAACTGGTCGACCCTCTTTTTATCCTAGGCTAAAGAGGAACTTTATGATCATTTTTATTGGTTCAAGATCCAACAAATTGTGTTTTCTCACAACCTAAAGGTTTACTCAAATCATAAGAAAAGTACAAAAATTTTGCACTAAAGTAATGGCTAAAAAGCCACATACTAATGTATTTCTCACAAGAAAAATGAGCAAGTTATGCGTAGTCGAGAATAAAGATTTCACAAAAAGTTGAGAGAAGAATCTGAAAATAAGAGGATATTTGTTTTGGTATTTGGTGTGAGAAAGATGAATTAGGTGACTTTAAACAGAATTTTGAGGATAGAAATTAGCAATTAGATTTAGGGTAGAAAAGATGAATGATGTAGATTAAGAGGTAAGGTAAAAAAAGAAATAAAGAGGATTTTGGAGAATGAGAGAAATTGTGGCGATTGAAAAAGAATTTATGGAGATTGAAGAGAATTTGTGGATTGAGAAAAAATTTGTGGAAATGATTAAATTCTTCAAATTGGAATACGCCACATGTCGTTCTCTCACTCACTCGATTGTTTGATGTCACATCAGCAAATATATGACCTCTTGATGCCACATGTCAACTTCTGATGAACGATCCACTTGTTCACATCACCCGCCATGTAAGATTTTTCTCCCAACTTTTATTGACCATAACTTCTTCATTAGACTCCGACTTGAGTGATTCGAAAGGTGTTGTTTTGTCTTTTTGAGCTCTACGCTATGGAAACTTTGAAACACTCAAATTGTTAGTTTTATACATTGTCTGTGATCATCAAAATATTAGGTTTGATTGAAGCCATAAAACTAATAATATCTCCTTTTTTGTGATGACAAACCACTTAAGAAAACACGTTCTCAAAGTGGATTATTCTCCTCCCCTTTTGCTATTATAAAAAAAAATTCCTATAAAATTGAGTTCCCTGTTAATAACATAATTATTGCATGGTAAAAAAAATCTCCTCCTTAATCAAACAAACATACAAAAAAAAAATACATCCTCTCCCTAACAAAACAATTAAATGTGAATGATGCCAAATGTAAGTCTATTCCTACAAAATGCTTCTTGATTTAATGATTTTGTAAGAATATCTATTATTTTTTTTTCAGTATGCACATGTTCTCTAAGAAAATGATGTCGGGTATCTATATGATTTGTCCTACAATGTTGAATGAGATTTTTTTGTTAAAGTAATTGAACTAGCATTATCACAAAAGATAGAAAGATGTTCAAAACTTAAACTAAAATCATACGATGTTTATTGTTTCATCCATAAAACTTGAGAGCAACAACACTAGTAATAGTAATATATTCAGTCTTAGTAATAAATAATGCAACATAATTTTACTTTTTACTAAACCAAGAGACTAGAGAGCTACCCAAAAATTGGCAAGTTTCACTAATGCTTTTCCAATAAGTTAGACCAATAAAATCAACATTAGAATAGAGAATTAATTCAAGAGATGCTTAGGATACCATAAACCCAAGTCAACAATTCCAAAAAAGTATTTAAAAATTCTTTTAACAACATGCAAGTGTGACTCTTTAGAACATGATTGAAATCTACCACACATACATACATTGAACATAATATCCGGTCTACTCACAGTTAAATAAAGCAAGAATCTGATCATACCTCTATAATAAGCTCTTATATCTACATTTTTACCTTTTCATCTTTATCAAGCTTTATGGTAGTGTTCATCAGAGTCTTTGATACTTTGGCATTTTCAAACTTAAACCCCTTGAGTAGATTTCTTGTATACTTTTCTTGATTGACGAAGATTCCCTCTTTAAGTTGGTTTGATTTGAAGTCCAAGGAAAACTTGAGTTCTCCCATTATGCTCATCTCAAACGCACTGTGCATACACTTAGAGAATTCTTCATAAATGAAGGGTTAGTGATACAAAAAATAATGTCATGTGCTTTGAACACCCACTATCCAAGCACCACTAGTTCTTTATTGATCTCAAATGTACCTAGAAGAAAGATATGATACTCACAAGCAATACATTTTCAATAAAAAAGAATTCAAACCATTACCTATGTTACCTTTGCCAATAATTCTACCTCTTTTATTGTCGCCAAAGGTAACGTATCCTCCATATTTCTTTTCTAGGTGTGAATTTTTATGGTCCCCGGTCATGTGCCTTGAACACCCACTATCCAAGCACCACTTGTTCTTTATTGATCTCAAATGTACCTAGAAGAAAGATATTACTAAAGATGTAACTTTAGGTACCCAAGTTTGTTTGGTCGTCTTTGATGGTTCACTACCACGATCTAGGAAATAGATGACTTTAAGTTTTTTTTTGCGATTTTTAATGGTTTAAAAAAAAACGTAAAAAGTCACCAAATATAAAGGCGAGCGTTTTTGGCCGGATTTGAAAGAATTATTGGATTTTGTAAGACAATGCTGGAGAATCACCGTCATCTACTTTAGCAAAATACCCAATGTAACCTTTAGTCACTACAACAATATAAAATAGAAAAGAAAAAAAGATGTTGGTGGCCAAATTCAGAATCGACACATGGATGCCCAATTAAGTTCGGAGTCTCCAGAAGGGATAAAATGGACTCTCCATACCCGCTGACTTGATCAATACTGAGCTAAGGTGGACAAATCATACCAGCCGACCTGGGGGTTCAACAACCGTAACCATAGGTCGGAACGGCTCCAACGGCTTTGTCTCTCCCATCTGCCTATAAAAGGGACACTCCACCCCATGTATTAGGTACATAATTATGTCCGAGAACAATCTACTACAGCTCAAGCGCACTTTAACTTGGACGTCAGAGTGTTTGTTCCCTGTGTAGGTTCAACTATCACGTGAGGTCGCACCTCGATAGCTCGCTCTAGTTAGCTCGTGACCGATCTATGGAGCTCGACGGAAATCTGCATCAACAAAAGAAAAAAAAAGAAAAATGAGAAAATTTCTGGTGTGCTCAACCCATTTCCCTCTTATCTCAAGCCCCTTCTCCTCCATTATTCTCTCATTTTCTCTGCTAGTCCGACCAAGGAAGCTTAATGGTGGCACCTTCAATTGTAGATGCAGAACAAGATCTCTAATCTCTGCCGCAACGTTTATCGTACACCAAGAAATTTCTTACCATTCATCATCGGAGACAACTTCAACGCTCGCGGGCAATTGGAACTCTCACTGGTCAACTTCTTCTAAAAACTAGGTACAAGGTTATTTCTACACCCATTTTCGGTTATAATATCATTCAGTATTTATTTACTCTCTACTGATAGAATATTCCCTCTATTTGTCGCTTGATTCGCTATAGATACTCGTACAACCTAGTTTTTGGTGCTCTATGAACTTTACTTGACAAAATAGAGATCATTCATAGTTGGTCATACATCAAATAAGAAGAGAGCACACAAAAATTTATATGAGGGAAGAAAACAGTACATCAACAAAAAAAATTAATTTTTTGTTTATGGGCTGATACTGAAATAAAAATAATAAAACTTTGGAGTGATGAATAAGCTTAGCCTTCGACCTCTTTTCAGTCTTGTTTTGTGTTTAGAATGATTATTTTAGGGTCCAAACCTCCTAATTATGCCAAAGAAACTCATTGTCAATATTAATATAGTTTAATGGATGATTTTATATATTTGAAAAATCTAAGTTAATCAAATATATTTAG